TAAACTATAAACTCAGGAGGACAAAAAATACAAAAATAAATCTATCATGTGTGCTCCCATAAAACAAGCTACAGGGATGGACCTTACTGAATCACCTCATGACTTTTGGGATTGTCACATAAACTAAAAAAAAGGATTTAAATTAAAAAATCCACAAGGACACAGGTTCCTCCTCGCAGTTATGCAAATCACAACGTCGTCACATTCTGATAAACTGTTCAGAATTATGCTCATGTGAGGCCGAAAATAGTTCTGTGACGGATGACGGCACTGGATAGCAGAGCCCGCTTCTTATTGGCAGCAGCCGCTCGAATCACTGCATTTTTATTCACGGGGCGATATCAAGGCGTATTTTGTATTCATGTTGGTATTTTCTGGCGTCTGTTTCAGCTGCAGGGCCAAGAGAGGGAATATGAGGACACCACGGCAGCCATGACTGACACTTAACTGAGACAACTGACAATAAAGATTGACCTGCATCCGTCTGTCTACCTGTCTGATTTATTGAGCAGCAAAATCACTGATTAGCTGCTTTTAGTGCATTGGTTCATGAGTATTTGCAAGAAGCTGCAGTAAATACGCTTGAAGTAGATCAGAGACATCATCAAAAGAGCGCTGACAGGTTTGTCTTTGAACACTGAAATGTACCTTTATCACACAGAAAAATTAAATCCAGGAAATGGGGAAAAAAAAAAAGGATTGGGTTGGACAACGTCAGTGTCCTGATAAGCTTCAGTGTTATTACCACAGATGTTGGATGGTTAACTTGTAGTATTTACACAGGGTCACGACTTTAGATAAAGTTGGTGTGACTTGTACTATTCAATGATCCATCCATCATCTATACACCTCTTAATCCTCACTAGGATCACAGGGGGCTGGAGTCTAACCCAAGCACACTCACATTCACACCTATGGACAATTTAGAATCACCAATTAACCTCAGCATGTTTTTAGACTGTGTGGAAGGAAGCTGGAGAACCCGGAGAGAACCCACGCTGCATGGGGAGAACATGCAAACTCCACGCAGAATGATCCCAGGTGTCCTCACCGGGACGTGAACCAACGACCTTCTTGCTGCGACGCAACAGTGCTAACCGCCTTGCAGCCCTAGAAAACGACATAATCAAGATATAACAGATGGTTAAATACTGACACGTGAAGTATTAGGAGTCTTCAGAAACACCTAAACAATACAGTTTCTGATATCACATTATTTTTGTTCTATTCTATTCATTTTTGTAGCCCTGTACTAGTAACAAGGCACACATTATGGTTCTAGTTATAAATTATGTGATATGTTACTATTAAATAAATGATTCGCAGTGGAAAAAAGAACTCAAATTCTGAGGTCACTCAACACGTTTAAATATTAGCCAGGAATGCTACTTGTTAATATTTTAGCAACGCCACTAAATTATAAAAATCAGACGATAAACAGTGAAATTTAGTTTAACAAGATTCAGAAAAGGTGCAATAAACAAGTTTTCTGAACTTTTTTTCAGTGGTGATAGTGTTCAGATTACTAATATGTTGAGGGCAACAACGCTGGAGGATTTCAAAGGACAACACACACCCCTGTTACAAACTCTTGTCTCTTCTTCCTTCAGGCAAGAGGTCATGACGTGCACAACCACAAGGTTTCATAACAGTTTTCACCTCTCTGCCATCACACGTTGAAATTCTCAGGACACTTAACAACCCGTTCATATGGTCCAGTAATCTGTCTGTGGTACAATGTGTTTTATTTGTGCCGTGGCAGTGCAATACTGGTTTTAGTATTGATTTATTTATAGACCCTTAGTGCAATCTAGAATGGTTTCTAATTATATTTATTCGGGTACCCGTCTTTGCCTTTTACTTCTTCTAGGTTTTTCTGTTTTTTTTATTTACTTTTTTATTTTTTGTTTAATTTTTTTTAGCCTATCTATCTATCTATCTATCTATCTATCTATNTCTATCTATCTATCTATCTATCTATCTATCTATCTATCTATCTATCTATCTATCTATCTATCTATCTATCTATCTATCTATCTATCTATCTATCTTCTGTATGTTAAAACTTGCCAAGCATCACAGTGAAATAAGTTTTATGTTTTGAAATGTGTGGATTTAAATGTGTAGTCTTTCAATAATTGAGAGAGAGAGAGAAAAAAAACTTTAAATGTTGATTTGAAAAAGAAAAAAATTGAAACAACATTTTCATGATCCAAATACACCAGATTAAAGTGTTTTTCCCTCTTTCTTCTCCTCCTAACCACAGCAGCAGCAGGTTGGAGCCAACAACTAACAACACTACTACGTGCGCGCGCCTCTCGTGAGCGCGCACGACTGTAGCTGCGCTCAGGCGCCACAACAAACGGCTGTGAGCCGCGTAGACACAACTGTGCAGGAAATTGACCAACAACACCGCGGACTAACCCACATTTTATTACTCAATAACACAAACGCTGGCCATGACCCCCGCTGCGGGGACAGTACGCGCCATAAGCCGCAGGTGACAGCGGACACGTACTGTCGAGCCTCTCCGGTCGCTCCGTGCCGTTGAGCTGCTGTTGACATTTCTTGCTAGCTGAGATAATTATCTGGCTGTGTAGGCAGGAAATTAGCAACGAGGAACTATGTGTTCGGTAATAGGCAGGGTGAAGCCGTGTCACCGGGCTCTGGCTGTGTCGCTGCGGCTCAGGACGAACACCGAGAGCCCGAGTTGCGCAGCAGCCCGGAGCAGGCGCTCCTGTCCCGGCGTAAGTCTCGGCGCTGAGCCGCTGCGGGTCACCAGCAGGACGTACAGCTCCGGGACAGCCGTGAGCCAAAGACTGCTCTTCAGACAGGTATTTGTTTTGGTTGTTGTTTTGCTTCTGTTTAGGGTGGTTTGTCAAAAGAAAAAGCAGAGTTTGTAGTTGTGTGAACGTCTTTGCTAATGTTACCGGTAGTAGGAAGTGAGCTAGCAGTTAGCTTTCTGTTAACATGGAGCCAAACTAGCTGTTTGAGTTTATCTCTGTGAACCCTATTAGCAAATTTCCCAGCTAAACAGACCACTTACTTTGTCTGTGCTTTATGTTTTTACAAAAAACGTTTAAAAACTCCACGTCTGTAACGATATGTGTTCAGTCCAAAGCTAGTTTTTGAGCTCATCTCGACCTTGGCAACTGCAAGTTCACAAAATAGTCAAAAATGTATTTAAATTTCACTCATTTCTTTTTTTCCTGCAACTTCCAGCTGTTCCTTAACATGCAAAGTTTGAACATCTACTTTTCCATGTGATCAAAAGCTCCATGACAAGCAAGCAAGCAAGTGGATTATTTTGTCATTCCTGTATGCAGATACTAAACACCAACCATCTGCTTGTTAACACTTAATACACAATATTAGCTCTAAATTATTACAAGCAGCCTTTTTGCATGAATAAAAAGTTGCTCCAAATCCTGATCTGGCCTTTTTCCGTCTTACTTTCATTCTCTCTATCTTACTATCTGACACACAAACACAAGCATATCTAAGGACAGCGCTGAGGGTGTGAACTTTACTACCTGTTGCCGTCTGTTGTAATCTTATCGCTGAGTCACTCTTGTGCAATCTTTAGTTGCTGGAGTTGGAGAGCAAGACCTACACGTACCTGCTGGCCGACGCGGAAACCAAGGAGGCTGTGCTCATCGATCCCGTGTTGGAGACCATCGACAGGGACCTGAAGCTCATAGGGGAGCTGGGACTCAATGTAAAAGTGGCAGGTATCTATCATCCTGTAGTTGAGCTATGAGATCGGAGGTTATTCCACAAACTCAGACAATGTGAGGAGACTCCATGCGTACATAATCGGCTCAGAGATGGTAATCGAGGATAAAAATCTATGTCATAATAATACTACAAATATCTTTCCAGATTTAAACTGAGTATCATTCATATCTACACAAGAGTACATATAAAATAATCAAACAGATGTCAAACACGATGATCCGTGTTTATCCATTACAACACACAGAACGCTTCTTACATGTACGACTAATAAACTTAACCGCAAACTTCAGTTATCACAACTACCCAGATTACAATACAGTGACGCGGCATTATATCCCAGCTGTATATTGAGCTACACTCTCTTCCTTTCTCTGACAGTAAACACCCACTGCCATGCGGACCACATCACCAGCACCGGGCTGATGAAGAAACGACTGGTTGGACTGAAGAGTGCCATCTCCAAACACAGCGGAGCCTCTGCAGACATCCTCCTGTCAGAGGGAGACAAGATCACCTTTGGAAAACATGTAAGATTATAATATTTTAGTTCATTTTAGAGAGTGTTTATGTGTAAAGTAAGCTAGACTTTATAGCAACATTGTGAGTCTGTATCAGTATATTGTGGATATTGTGTGCTCTGGAAATACCGAAACCATAAAAAATGATTTATTGAAATAGATTTACGTTGCCTTACTTCTAGTGTCTGACAGTGAGAGACACACCAGGACACACAGATGGCTGCATGACGTTGGTGACGGGGGATCAGAGCATGGCTTTCACCGGGGACGCACTGCTCATTAGAGGCTGTGGCAGGACAGACTTCCAGCAAGGTATGCTTTCACACTGTCTTTGTTTTTCTGGAATTGTATTTACAGCCTGATGGTTGCATTTTAGGTCCAGATTCTTACCTTCTCCTAGTCGAATTGCTCTGCAAGAGGTCATTCCAGTGAGGTGTAGCACATATGAAATAACCTTTTCAACAATGCCAGCTGCTTGTCTGTGCACAAGCGTTGGAAGAACGAATCATTGAATTGAATTTAATCACAGGTACACCTCGCATACAGCTATGTGTCATTACTCTTGTTTGAATTACTCATCACTGTGTTGGTATATTTCTATCTGTGCAGCATGTTAAGAGTAGAACTGGAGCTTTGTAATTCTGTTTATTACATGTTTGTACACATTATGAAGGTTTCAAACTTCTACAGAAGAACACCTTTACTAAATTCTTCACCCATTTTTTTGCACTCCTGCTTCTTGGTTGGATAATACAAGGCTATATTGTTTCAGACATCTGCCTGGTTTGTCACCTCAACATGCAGGCTACTCTGTGTGAAGAAAAAAAACAAGGATATTTATTTCCGATAGTCACTAAGAATCAGAATCAGAATCAGATTTATTGCCAGGTATAGTTTTTTAAAAGATATTGTGCAGTGAAGAATTAAGTTTAAATAAGAACCATAGAGCTGTAGGTATTTACAACAATATTGAGGGTGCAGATGTATTGATCTTTACATTAGTACAGATTATCAAAAGAGTGAAAGGTGTGGAGATGCAACATGACCAATAACAGTGAGGATAATGAGATGGTGAGCAAAGAGAGAAGCACATATTTTGACATTGTTAGATTAAATCTCGTCTACACAAGTGTGAAAAGATATCTCCAGTGCCAGCATTTTATAAAACATCTAAAAACAGTTTCATAGGTCAAAATATTTTTTTTCCAACTTGTATAAAGGCTAACAAAAAAAATCTGTAAATGTATCATATAATGAAAGATCTGGATAGCTTAGATCATCCAGGGCCGACCCTCATAACAAGATTTGAGCTTGAAAGTAACCGAAGTTCATTCACCCGAATATGAGAGGATGGCTCCAACTTTTATTTTTGTAATGCTGCTAGCTCAACACAAGGGTGCGGTGTTGCATCTGTTTTCTTTTGCTCTCCTATTCAGGTTGCGCTAAGAGACTTTATCACTCCGTGCATCAGAAGATCTTCACCCTGCCCGACCAGTGCCTCATCTACCCAGCGCACGACTACTTAGGTTGGCTGAAACCCCCACACACACCACGACTTTTAGATGTTGTTGTCCTGTCTCATACGCAGAGTTTAAGCAGACTGATGGTGAAATTAGCCAGTAGTTTTCTACTCATAGGGGCCAGCACTGAAACAACTGTCTGTGTAAGAGCGGTCGAGTGCAAGCGCAAAGAGCAGTTGATGCAAGCTGAAGAAACAATCTAATGAGCACCACATTTTATTACACGTTAGTCTTAAAGTTTTTATAACGCGTCACTTGTGTGCCAGAATCTTTTGGTTTCTCTATAATTGTTTTAACTGATTAATAAAGTTCAGCATTTGGCAAAAATCAAGACCACACGGACAATAAATGTTGCATCTGTTTTTGTGCATCAGGTCAGACGGTCTCTACGGTTGGCGAGGAGCGCAGATTTAACCCACGCTTGACTAAGAGCATCGAGCAGTTTGTGGACATCATGAACAACCTGAATCTCCCCAAGCCGGCCAAAATAGGTATCAGAGCTGCTGCATTTCTGAGGTTCCAACCACCGCCCATCTCTGTTAGCAAACACTGTGCCAAAAAGATGTCAGTGCAAACGTTTACGAGCTGCATCTCATCTCCTTCTGAAAACACTCGTCTCTCTTTGCAGATATCGCAGTGCCTGCTAATCTGGTTTGTGGCCTGCACGAAGTTTGACCGCCCTGCGAAAGAGAGCGTTCGAATCAAATCAACTACGTCATCGCAAAGTAACTGAGATTTACCTCCCTGTTTTAGCAACACTAATCAAGACTGCTCACCAGATAGTGCTTTAACGTGTCTTTGTATGTAAATGTAATATTTGAATAACTGTCATGCGAGTGCAACTACTGGCATCGTTTAGATTGGAATAAAAACGCTGTCATGTCGATTTTATTCAGTACTAAAATTCTGTAAATGAGGAAAAGCCCTTTTTTAAATCATTGGCTTAAAGTTGAATGTGATGACCTTTTTTTTTCAGTTGTGTTATTATGAATTTCAGAATTGGGGAGGAAATTATGAGCAGGAAAGCTCAGATAGGAATGTTCCATTCAAGGTTTGGTTTAGTATTCATGAATGCTTCACTGGGACGATCCAGTTCTTCCACATGGCCACAGTGGTTCCTCTATCCAAGGCCGCCACACACACACACACACACAAACACACTGTCTTTTTTGCATAGCAGGAAAATAAAGCTACTCTTATTTGCATTCAAAGTCAATAAGTGCCAAGTTTCCATGGCGCAACATGTCACGGCCATGTGCTCTCAAATCTCATCTGTTCCTTTAAACGTCCAACAGACAAGGGCACCCATTGAGACGCGTGTTACTATCTCAGTTATGACAAGTGGCGTCCATGCCAAGTATCATATCTGCTTCCAGATTTCCAAATATCCTGTGCATGCTGTTCTCATCTGCTGCTGAACACCTCATCAGCCAGTAGGACAGGTTTGTTTGGAAGTGCTGGCCTCTGACTCAGCTACAGAAACTCGCACATGTGATAGTAAGCTGTGCGATAGTGTAGAACTGATGGTGAGCTTATTTTCTTTCCAATTCAAAGGAGTGCTCCATTTATTAAACACACAGTTTGCTCATCATGGGGAAGTACCACTCACCAGGTGACGACTGTCCTCTGCAGCACTGGAAGGAGCCCTGAAAAAAAACAATTGTGATGCTTTCAGGGTTGTCATAGCTTCAGTTTGAATGCCTGTGTTACAAACTAGGGATGTGACATTCAAATGGAAGTCGTTTACTGGTCACAAAAGGGACTAATTCTGTGCTCGTGTAATCTTAGAGTCATTTTGGTAGCTCACATATATCTGACGAGGCACTTTAATACCCACAAGCTTGGAAACCAAATACATATGGACGCTTTACATTGGCTGCCGTTCAGTGTGATGAAGTCCAAAATGAATGAACAGTGTTGTAGTGTCAGTACACAATCCTTCTGCAATGATACAAATCTCTTATAATGTGAACAAGTTGCTAACATAGGAGCCCCTGTTTTAAATAAATGCTGTATTACATGAAATGCTTTTGAGTCCATAAAAAGGAATAAAAGTCAAGATATCTCTGCCTCCTTTGGCCGTTTTTTGAGCCCCTCACTTTGGTATAAGTACATTTAATCTCTTAAAGACTCTTAATACCACATAGCAACCACTTGTAAAATTCTTGAGTGTGGATTGTAAACCTTTGAACTCACAATAACAAATCACACATGGTCCAAAACCTGAAAACTCAAGATTGCATTATTGTAGAAAAGCACGACTAGACAACAAACAGGACGCGCTGACGCTGACCTTATTGGACACAGTGTGACCGATCCACTTTGAACACAGTTTCTTTGTTAGCCCCGGTTAGAAATTTCAGTCAGTCACAGAGTCGTGAGCGTCGCTAATATGTGACCTCAAGTTACGTAGAAACATCTGATGTAGTATTGGGAGAGAAAGCTGGATCCCTACAGATGAAAGGTGAACGTTTTCCTGATACACAGTATACAGGTGAAACCAGAGGTTTACTTCACCGTATAAAAGGACATATAACCTTTTTTTTTCTCACTATCTGATATTAAATCAGACTAAACGTTTCCTGTTTTAGGTCAGTTAGGATTAACAAAATTATTTATATTTGCTGAATTCCAGGATAATGACAGAGAATTTTTTATTACTTTTTTTTAAAGTCAGAAGTTTCCATACATTTCCTTAGTATCTGGTAGCGTTGCCTTTAAACTGTATGACTTTTGGGTCAAACGTTTTGGGTTTCCTTCCACAAGCTTCTCACAATGGTTTGCTGGATTTTTGGCCCATTCCTCCTGACAGAACTGTTTGTAAGCCGCCTTGCCTTGCCCACAGATTTTCTCCAGGATTGAGATCAGGGCTTTGTGATGGCCACTCCAAAACATTGACTTTGTTGTCCTGAAGCCTCTGTGTAGCTACTCTGGTGGTATGTTTAGGGTCATTGTCCATCTGAAGACCCATTTGTGCCAAAGCGTTAACTTCCTGGCTGATGTCTTGAGATGTTGCTTCAATACTTCCAATACTTTTTGTGAAGTGCACCAGTCCCTCCTGCAGCAGAACAGCCCCACAACATGATGCTGCCACCCTCGTGCTTCACAGTTGGGATGGTGTTCTCAGGCTTGCAAACTTCCCCCTTTTCCCTCCAAATGTAACGATGGTCATTATGGCCAAACAGTTCCAGTTCAGGTTCATCAGACCACAGGACATGTGAATGAAGGTCTTAGACCCTGTGTGCATTTACAAACTGTATTCAGGCTTTTTTATGTTGCTTTTGGAGTAATGTCTTCTTCCTCTCTGAGTAGCCTTTCAGTCCATGTCGGTACAGGACTGGAAAAAAAAGGTTATATGTCTTTTTCTATATGTAAACTTCTGGTTTCAAGTGTATCTGTCCAATGTAATGGAACTGATCCGGTTCCCTGCACCTCTTATTGTTACAGAACCTGCAGCATCCTGTGTGTGAAAACCCTGCCTGCTTTCTAACTTCTCAAAAACTTCACAGTTAAAGAAGACTTGCTCTAAGAATAAAGGAGCGTTTAGAGAAGAGGTTATCTGTTGTGTTGTCACATGCAAGTCAATACCGTTAGCCCACACACACACACACACACACACACACACACACACACACCCCGTCTACCAGCTGTCTCTGTCAGCACTCGACACAAACAACGCTGTCGGACGGCCCTCCCGCCTCACCTAGCCTACACGCTGACAGACACCTGCATTGTCCTCCATTCAGAGCGGGAGGTGTGTGTGTGTGCGGCCATTGTCGCCGCCGTCGAGCTGAAGATATGTCGCCTTTTCCACGTAAAATGGTCCCATTTACTTGGATCCTGTTTAGCTGCGGGGAAGCGATGTGCCAGCTGTCCTTTCACCCAGTCTGTGTCGCCCATCTGCCAGGCCTTTTTTCACCCTCTCAGCCTACTTACAGTGTGCCACATGAACCTGCTGCCCATTCTCTCTCCCATTGGCCACATGACACCGGAGAGAATATATTACACTATCAGCTCATTCAGAAAGAGCTGTAAAGAGGCCAACCGGGGTGATAAAGCCCTCAAAAGTGAAGAGAGCAGATTTTGCCCATGGGACCCTAAAGAGGAGTCACTATATAGGATCCTGAAGTGAATCTGTGGTGTTGGTCAACAGCTCAGAGAAGCTCAATAGCATGTTTACATTAACGTTACAGCAGTTTTTGCTCTCAAAGTACTTATTGTAGCAGCGGTATTTCAGAGATTCACATTGCTCTGGTGCTCAGTGGCATGTTTACAGTGAGTATCTAATGCTTCATGGTATTTTAATCTCTACTGGGATCTGTATAAGACCGCCATAAGGACTTATAGGGGCTCTAGGAGCACTTGTTATGACTGCAGGCAAGAAGCTTGTACATATTTATGACATTTTATTACTTTAACTCTCACCGATAGTCAAAAAAATCCACATTTTAAATACACAAACCAAGAAACTAGCAAATATTTGCCGGTGACAGGCTGGTACCACAGAATTTTTGGCGTTTTTGCGTGAAAAATGCCTTTTTTTCATTAATCAATTACTATTTCTGCTCTGGAGTACTGGATACTGGCATTTTCTTTAGTGATGAAAATATCAGAAATAGCCATTAATATTCCTCCCAACACAGGCAGCCGATACATATTTATTTCATTTGAGTATTTTTAGTCTGACCAACAGAGAAAGAACTCCAGATTTTCTGTTTACTATCCTTAAAAAACAGGAAACCAGCAAATACTAACCTTAAACTAGCTGGTGCCACTGAGTTTTTGACATTTTTGCATTAAAAAAAAAAAAGCCTTCCTAATAACTAATCAACAAATAATTTCAGCTCTAGAGTACTGGATGGTGTCTGTAGTGGGTTAAATATCAGAAAATATTTTTAAAAATTCCCATCATCATTCCATGAGGCCCAAGTAACCTGTAGACACTTATTTCATCTTATTATTTTTAGTCTGACCAACGAAGAAAGAACACAAAATTTAAGTTTAAAACTACGACCAACCAAGGAAAACAGCAAGTATTAACCTTTAACAAGCTGGTGCCACTTTGCATTTTTGCATGAAAATTTTCTTTCTTATTAACTAATAATTTCAGCTCAAGGGCAATGGACAATGTATGGGTGCATTGGGAAATAATTAAACTGGCATACGCTAAAGAAAGTCCAGTACAACAGGTCTGTCAGTAATTCTACTTGTACATTGTCAGTTTCTGCTCGTCATGTATGGTAATGGGGTGGACAAAATAATAGGAACACTTTAACATAATGCAGTCCAGCACACTACCATCAATTATCCACACTTTTAAAGCTCGCTGACCCCAAACTTTATTTAAAAAAATACTGACCCTGTACGAGCCCGTTCACAGCCTCAGATCCTCAGGTAGGGCCTTTCTTACTGTTCCAAAGTCGAGACTAAAAAATCTAAGGGTGCCGTTCTAGATTGCACTATGAGCCTAAAAAAAATACATAAATCAATACTCAAAACCAGTATTGCAGAAATAAAACGCATTACACCACAGACATATTTATTGCACCATATGAACGGGTTGTTAAGTGTCCTGAGAGTTTAAGAGTCTGATGGCAGGGGGCTAAATTTATTTTTTATTTTTCACCTACTTGATTTTTTATTTGATTATTTGATTGTTCATTTCATTCTCTTTTACCTTTTATTTATATTTATTTATTTTTACTATTACTACTGTTATTATTATTACTTTTAGCCTTGCCTTCATGGTTTTATCGTCTATTTTCTTTTTATCCACTTGCTCTTTCCTTTACTTGTATGTGGCATTTTATTATTTTGTCTGGTGTTGTTGTGTTAAATTTACCTTGAAACTTTTTCACCATCATTGGACTGATCAGCCTTCTGTTGTTCAATGATTTTTCCCCCCTTGAGTATCCTCCTCTCTTTCTTTCTTTCTTTTTTTAATTTATTTTATTTTTTGCCTTGTCAGCAAAACACTTTGTACACTAACAGGTACTACAGAAATACAAATATTATAATCATTAATACCATCTGTGGCCTCAACATCAAACATTAAGTTGGTTTATCAAGTTTATGACACTGAAAAAAAGGAAGTTTTCATAGAAGCAGGTTGCACCAGATGGCCCAGGTGTTAAAAACAGAGTTTATACAGTGAACGGCAGTAAAGGACAAGCGTGTTGCCCTCTAGGGGGTTAACCCGGCCACGCAGCCAAGAGCTAAAACTGACCTTCTAAACTCAGTGGATCACTTTAATATCATAACAGGCCCATGGGAGCTCGTCTTTAAACCTATTTAAGCAGCCTTTCTCTCCACTGCGCTCTGGCTGGCAGCGCGCCTGGTGACTCCACAATGAGAAAGCCCCGTCAGTTCCCAGAATAGAAATCCCCCCCATTCCAGTGTTTGAATGAAACTCTCTCTCTCTCTGTCTGTCTGTGCACAGCCTGTACAGCTCAGAGAACCAGTTGAAGTTTTGCTACGAGTAAAGAAGCTCAAACCAGAGGGCTGATTGCGCCTAAACAGCCCCAAACACTTGACTCGACCCGCCTTCCGTCGTCGCCTTCCTCCGCCTCCTCCTCCTCCTCCTCCGCAGCAGCAGCTCTGCTCTCACCTGTTGACGCCGACAAGCCGCTCACCCTGACCCGATCTGTCATTTCTGTGTTGTCTTTCTCCTCTATCACTGGGAGGGATTCAATCAAACCAGGTGGAGATAAAACAACTTCCAGTAAAGGAGCGACAAAGCGGCTGTCAGCTGAGGTCCAAGTCGCTTTTACGCGTCAGAAAGTGAAACAAGTTCGCTCAAGTGTGGGTGCTTTTTTTTTTTTTTCCGGCTTTCTCTTCTTCATTTGTATCCGGCTTTTTTGGCTACACGTTATGAATTGGAGCAGCTACGATTCTTGACGTTTAAATCGGAGCTTGTTTTCCAGGTAAGAGTTGATTCTTTAACTCGCTTTCAACACCAAGTCAGCAGATCTGCGCGTGTGGAGGCGAAACCAGCGGAACAAACTTTACGCAAACTCAAACATCAATGCGGTGATTGTGACTTGACATGTTTAATGTTTTTAGTTGTAAATCATATATAACACCTTGTTTTTTTTTAAACCGTTGCCACTCACATCAAAAGAGGAAACTAGAGCAGCTTCCTGATGTTGGGTGTATTTACAAAACCAAACTGGTTCCTTGCTTGTGATAACAGAAAAAAGTCACGATTCATTAATCCCGGGCTTCATCCTCTTTGACCTAAATACAGACCTGCATAGAGAGAAAATGTTCACAGCAACTTTCACTGAGATAAACGCCTCTCACACCTTGTCCCATGACAGACAGTTAGTTCCACTTTTGTTTACCTTCAGATACCAGCTCCCTTTTTTTTTTTTTATCCCTCCATCAGCACTTGGAGGGTAAACAGAGTTGCTGAGGTAGAATTGTGAGGATTTGCTGTCTGGGGACTTCTGCCTATAGCTCTTTTTTTTTGGTGTGTGTGTGTCTCATGCACACACGTCTTGTTTTGACCGCCATTGGACAAATCCGTGTCTGAGCCAGGCTGCGTCCTAGGCCCTCATTAGTGGATCACTCCTTTCTTGCATCACAGTTCCCACAGATTTACTCAGGCCAAAGGAATCTCTGGATGTAGAGTCGAACCTGCAGGAGCAGGCCGGGGATTGATATGGACGCTGCTGACTCACATTGGATGTGAATCCCGGTGTGTTTTACATGTGTGGCTTCTGTTTGTGTCTGTGATGGTCTTGCGTGCTTCGGCAGGGTTGCAGAAGGTAGCTGGAAAAGGAAAGCACGGATGGTATTAATAGCATGAACAATGTCTCGGGTCTACTTGAGTGTCTCAGGATGCACAGCTAAACTCAACAGAATACAGGAATCGTTCATGTTTTTATATCTTACAGGTCAAGATAATCAGAAAAGAACTTCTTCAGACTTCTCCTTTGGCCTGAACACTCCATAAATCCTCACTTTGTCTTTTTTTTCTGTTGTTAAGTTCTTTGCTCAACTTGTCGATCAACCTGTTTCATTCACTTACGATTCATTTACACTTTCTGTCCGTTCCATGTGGTCTCTTGCCTCCAGTTGGCTTTCTTACATTTCCCAGACTAGCGAATGGACCTCTAACTTGTTGCATCTAGTTCTAGTTTCTCGAGAAGGATGTCGTTGATGTTTATTTGCAGCCTTCAGTAGAACGAGTACTGCGGCTGCATTGCATTCTGGTCAATCTGGTCAAGCTGATCAAGCTGCTAATAGAGTGTAAACTTCAATATTTTGTCGTTTTTTCTCTTTTTTTTATTTGATAGGATGAATTTTATCCAAGAAGAAAAAGTCCTGATCATTTTGTGTGTTTATTTCTGTGATTAGATGGTTTGACTCATGATTCTGAAGCAAAAGTCTCGTCCAGCTGCTTCTGTTTAGACGGCACTGAAAGCTGGGTTTGATTTCTAAATGAGGGAAAAAAATGACATTAATTATGAGGTGCAAAATATTTCATGCACCTCAAATCGCAGTATTGACAGTCTTATTATGGCAGCGGTAATAAAAACTTGGTTACGATATTGGCGCGGGATTAAAACGCCGCAAGCCGAGCTCATGCTTAGTCACAGGCAACCAGTACGTCGGCTTCTCCTGCTCTCCATTTGTCCGGGTCTTCAAGCCAAGTTCTGGAGATGAGTGATTGTCTCAGCGCGTACAAGTGACGAGTGAAATTGCTGAAAAGTCTTTTACTCATAAAGCTCCCATTGTAGTCATGCACAACACCTCAGACTGACATCAGCTTGTCGGCCAGCTTCCCACAAGAATGCAGACAAACACACCATGAAGCCTCCACAGTGGGCCCAGAGATGCAACGTCCAACACCACCAGCTTTTTTTAACTTACAATGCAGGTAGTTTGCTTTTAATAATCAGCTCGTTTTCAGTGTGTTAACTGCCTAAATCAGAATGGCCTGTGCTGTTTGCTACTATCAGCGGTTTTGTCGTATGCAGTCAGGTGTCAAACAAGATTAGTCACTTTGTTCTCACAGTCCCACAGTAACAGCTGAGTGACAGCCAGGGACTCGCTCCTTCTCACCTGCTCTTCCTGCTCACCGACTCGTACGGCGATGACAGCTTCCAGGTCCTCGGCGCCGAGCCAGCGGGAGCCACATGCGGCAGGTCCAGAGGTCGCTGCAGTTTAGTCCACAGCATTTGATCTGTCGAATGACCGCGTGCACTTTGGCCGAATGCATGGATCAACACGTAGGGTTTGAGACACCTACAGAAGTCAAATGGTGCGCTCCAAGCAAACTTAGTTCTTTATTTTGTCTTAATTCAAGAGGAGCGGCAAAAAGACGGACATCTGGGTCACTGCTCTGACAGTAAAAACGAGAAAATTACTCGTGTGCACAAGATAGTGATGGGATGACGTCAGGCCTGAACAGAAAGTTTTAAAGCCTGGAGATTTGGTCCGTTTGAAGCCGCAGCCTGTAATTGTGGCCAATAAAAAAGAATATGCGACTTGTCCTTCGAGTTTAATAGCTGGTTTCGGTTCTGTGCCTTCTGCAGATGAGAGGCAGACACTTAGAGTCACCGAAAAAAAGCATCTGCATTGTAGATTCGCCCCCCGGTCTGTGTCATGCCACTGTGTTGTACTGTACAAGTGCAGCTTAAGGTCACGGTGGATGTATGTTGTGGAGCTGATTTCACAACTCACTAATCCTCTGAAAGGACTTAAGATCGGAGCTCTAACGTGACGGTCATGTTAAACAGAATCTTGCAGTCTTATTTTTAAACACAGAAACCACCTTTTGAGTTTTATTTCGTTGGGGCATTTTGCTGCAAAGGGGCTGCAGGGTGGTGCAGTTGGTAGCACTGTTTCCTCGCAGCAAGAAGGTTGCCGGGTCGCGTCCCGGTG